TTGAACATATCCTCATGAAGCCAGATAAGCTGGAATGTTAAATTGCCTCTGTGTCTGTCTATGTATGTTGTATGTCTAATTGGGATTGAATGTTTGCTGAGTATATGTGCATTATAATCCACCATGAGTTCCCTGTGGGTGACAAGGGTGGAATATAAATACTGTAAATAAATAAATAAATAAATAAAATTCAGTACTGTACATACATACAAAATTGGTTTGTTGTTCATTTGTTCAGTAACTTCTGATTCTTTGTGACCTCATGGACCAGCCCATGCCAGAGCTCCCTGTCGGCTGTGGCCACACTCAACTCCTTCAAGGTCAAGCAAGTCACTTCAAGGATACCATCCATCCATTTTGCCCTTGGTCGGCCCCTCTTCCTTTTTCCTTCCATTTTCCCCAGCATCATTATAGTTTCCAAACTTTCTTGTCTTCTCATTATGTGGCCAAAGTACTTCATCTTTGCCTCTAATACCCTTTCCTCCAGTGAGCAGGCCAGCATTATTTCCTGGAGTCAACATTGTCACAAAAGTCAACATTGATACTGAAATACAACACCGCCTGAGCTCTGTGAGTGCAGCATTTTTCTGAATGAAGCAGAGAGTGTTAGAGGACGGGGACATCTGTAGAGAGACCAAGGTGCTTGTTTTTAAAACTATTGTCCTCCCAACCCTGCTATACGCCTGCGGGACATGGAGTATCTACAGACGTCACATGCAACTTCTGGAATGATTCCATTAATGTTGCCTCTGAAAAATCCTGCAAATCTCTTGGGAAGACAAGCAGACAAATATCAGTGTGCTGGAAGAAGCAAAGACCACCAGCATTGAAGCGATGGTCCTCCAACATCAACTCCGCTGGACCGGCCACGTTTTCCGGATGCCCGACCACCGTTTCCCAAAGCGGTTACTCTACTCCGAACTCAAGAACGGAAAACGGAATGTTTGAGGACAGGAAAAGAGATTTAAAGATGGGCTCAAAGCCAACCTTAAAAAACTCTGGCATAGGCACTGATAACTGGGAAGCCCTGGCCCTTGAGTGCTCCACCTGGAGGTCAGCTGTGACCAGCAGTGCTATAGAATTTGAAGAGGCATGAATGGAGGGCGAAAAAGAGAAACATGCCAAGAAGAAGGCACGTCAAGCCAACACTGACCTGGACTGTCTTCCACCTGGAAACCAATGCCCTTACTACAGGAAAACATACTGATCAAGAATAGGGCTCCACAGTCACCTACGGACCCACCAGTATCTTGGAAACTATCCTACTCAGACAACAAGGGATCGCCTAAGTATAAATAATATAAATAAATAAATAAATAAATAAATAAAATTCAGTGCTGTACATACATACAAAATTTGTTTGTTGTTTATTCGTTCAGTCGCTTCTGACTCTTTGTGGCCTCATGGACCAGCCCATGCCAGAGCTCCCTGTTGGCCGTCGCCATCCCCAGGTCCTTCGAGGTCAACCCAGTCACTTCAAAGGTACCATCCATCCATCTTGCCCTTGGTTGGCCCCTCTTTCTTTTTCCTTCCATTTTCCCCAGCATCATTATATGAGGGGTATTTTTTAAGTAAGGTCCATTTTGTTGTAGACACTAGTAGTGCATACTGCAACGAGCGCGTGCGTCATGTACCGGCATGCCTCGGGAACAACTGTGCTCAGTTTCCGCTCTGTAGCTAACTTGTACGGTTCTGTTCTATGCTTTAAAAATGTTTAAGACTATCAACTCACGCGCCGCATGTGAGGTTTGCTCAGTGATACGGTTTTTGTCAGCAAGGAACCTGCCTGCTGCAGAAATTCATCGACAGATTTGTGAAGTGTACAGTGATACTGTTATGAGTGAAAGCAAAGTGCGTAAGTGGGTACGACAATTCAAAGATGGCTGTGACAATGTCCATGATGAGGACCGCTCCGGTCGCCCTTCTTTGATTACAGACGATTTGGTGGCTTCAGCAGGCGGCAAGTTTTTATGAAGAGGGTATTTTAAAATTGGTTCAGAGGTATGATAAGTGTCGAAAAATAGAGTGAAGTATGTACTTTCTGAAAATAAATTTACTTTTTTGAAATAAACTTTCGTTGTGTACTTATGTTCAAACGGACCTTACTTAAAAAATACCCCTCGTAGTTTCCAAACTTTCTTGTCTTCTCATTATGTGGCCAAAGTACTTCATCTTTGCCTCTGATACCCTTTTCTCCAGTGAGCAGCCGGGCATTATTTCCTGGAGTATAGGCTGGTTGGATCTTGCGGTCCAAGGCACTCTCAGGATTTTCCTCCAACACCACAATCCAGAACTGGACACAGTATGATTCCAGACACGGCCAACCAAGCCTACTAAATGAGTCCTCCTCCTAATAATAATAAGTAAAGGTTGTCCCCTGACATTAAATCCAGTCGTGTCCGACTCTGGAGTGTGGTACTCATCTCCATTTCTAAACTGAAGAGCTGACGTTGTCCATAGACACCAAGGCCCAAGATACCTAACTGACCGCCTCTCGGCCTATGAGCCCACGAGGACTTTGAGATCTTCCGGGGAGGCCCTGCTCTCGATCCCGCCTGCGTCACAGGCACAGCTGGTGGGGACGAGAGATAGGGCCTTCTCGGTGGTGGCTCCTCGGCTGTGGAACACCCTTCCCGTAGACATCAGGCTAGCCCCCTCCCTGTTGATATTCCGCAGGAAGTTAAAGACCTGGTTGTTTGAGAAGGCATTTGAATAGTAGTGCAATGACGGGTAACTCGACCATAGGAATAGAACAACGGAAATGGTATTGGATTGTGAACTTGACGATGAGATGACTCGGAATGGTTTGTAGTTATATTGATGTTTTTGATGAGATGTTTTGATAATGATGTACTGTGGATTATTTTTTGTATGCTGTATTTTGCACCTGTTTTTCTATGTTGTACACCGCAATGAGTCGCCATTAGGCTGAGAATTGCGGTGTATAAGCGAAGTAATAAATAAATAAATAAATAAGGTAATGTGGCCAGCATGATTACATAGGGCATTGTTACCTTCTTGCTGGAGCGGTACCTATTGATCTACTCACAATTGCATGGTTTCGAACTGTTAGGTTGGCAGAAGCTAGGAGCCCTATCGGCCGTGGCCACCCTCAGCTCCTTCAGAGTCAAGCCAGTCACTTAAGGATGCCATTCATCCATCTTGGCCTTGGTCGGCCCCTCTTCCTTTTTCCTTCCATTTTCCCCAGCATCATTATAGTTTCCAAACTTTCTTGTCTTATCATGATGAGGCCAAAGTACTTCATCTTTGCCTCTAAAACCCTTCCTTCCAGTGAGCAGCCATGCTTTATTTCCTGGAGTATGGACTGGTTGAATCTTGCGGTCCAAGGCGCTCTCAGAATTTTCCTCCAACACCACAGTCCAGAACTGGACACAGTATGATTTCAGGCAAGGTCAACCAAGCCTACTAAACAAGTCCTCCTCATCCTAATAATAATAATAATAATAATAATAATAATAATAATAATAATGGGCAGTGTTGACTATGGCCACGCTCAGCTTCTTCAGAGTGAAGCCAGTCACTTCGAGGATACCATCCATCTACCTTGCCCTTGGTTGGCCCCTCTTCCTTTTTCCTTCCATTTTCCCCTGCATCGTTATAGTTTCCAAGTTTTTCTGTCTTCTCTTGATGTGGCCAAAGCACTTCATCTTTGCCTCTGATACCCTTCCCTCCAATGAGCAGCCGGGCTTTATTTCTTGGAGTATGGACTGGTTGGATCTTGTGGTCCAAGCACTCTCAGAATTTTCCTCTAACACAGTGTTTCTCAACCTTCCGAATGCCGTGACCCCTTAATACAGTTCCTCATGTTGTGGTAACCTCCAACCATAACATTATTTTTGTTGCTACTTCATCACTGTAATTTTGCAACTGTTATGAATCCTAAGGTAAATATCTGATATGCAGGATGTATTTACATTCACTGGGCACAATGTGGCACATATACCCAATACACCCAAATTTGAATACTGGTGGGGTTCAGGGACGATTTATTTTGTCATTTGGGAGTTGTAGTTGTTGTAGAATGCCCTTTGATAGTTCACCCACAATCAAAGAGCATTCTGAACTCCACCAACCAGTCTTGGAATACAGAACTCCCATGAACAACAGAAAATACTGGAAGGGTTTGGTGGGCATTGACCTTGAGTTTTGGAGGTGTAGTTCACCTACATACAGAGAGCACAGTGGACTCAAACCATGATGGATCTGGACCAAACTTGGCATGAATACTCAAAATGCCAAAATGTGAACACTGGTGGAGTTTAGGGTAAATAGACGACATTTGGGAGTTGTAGTTGTAGTTGCAGGAATTCATAGTTCACCCACAACCAAGAGCATTTTGAACACCAACAATGATGGAAYTGAAYCAGTCTTGTAACACAGAACTACCATGAAGAACAGAAAATACTGGAGGGTTTGGTGGGCACTGACCTTGGGTTTTGGAGTTGTAGTTCACCTACATCCAGAGAGCACAGTGGACTCCAACCATAATGGATCTGGATCAAACTTGGCATGAATACTCAACATCCCCAAATGTGAACACTGGTTGAGTCTGGGGAAAATAGACCTTGACATTTGGGAGTTGTAGTTGCTGGGATTTATAGTTCACCTACAATCAAAGAGAATTCTGAATCCCACCAACGATAGAATTGGGCCAAACTTCCCACACAGAACCCCCATGACTAGCAGAAAATACCGTGGATTCTGATGGTCTTTGGCGACCCCTCTGACACCCCCTTGCGACCCCCCCCCCGGGGTCTTGACCCCCAGGTTGAGAAACGCTGCTCTGACGCCACAGTCTAGAACTGGACACAGTATGATTCCAGGAGAGATCATCCAAGCCTAGTCCAGCAGCTTTGCAAATGAGAAGCGCCTGGAGGGGAAGGATGCTGAAGGTGGGCCACCTGGCGATGATGCCGAGGGAGGGCGGGCCTCGGCTCTTGCCCTTTAAGGGGCCGCCCACGAGGGAAAAGCACACGGAGGAGGCGGGGGGAGACGTGCCTTGGGCGCCGGCTGCCGGGGCTCTTCCATTCACTCGCTCCTTGGCTCTGCCCGGAGGCAGTCGTCATGTGGCTGTACCTGCTCCTGGGCGCCTTGGTGCTGCTCCTCCTCCTCCTGGGCACCTTGCTGCTGGGCTTCCAGGGACAGCACTCCCGGAGCCCCTTCGAGGAGGACGCCCGCCGGCCCCCGGAGCCCCTCGTGACGGACAAGGAGGCGAGGAAGAGGGTCCTCAAGCAAGGTGAGCCAGGGAAGGAAGCAGGCAGGGATGCTGCCCAGGTGAGGCGCCCTTGCCCGCCTTCCTTTCACCAGTCCCCTAAAGCAGGTGGCCATCCTAGTATAGAACTTCCAGCCTGCGAAACCTCAGGCACCACACTGCCCTGATCAACACACCTACTACAGAAAGGATGCTACCCACTCACACTCCTTTCCCTCCTTTCACCTTATTATTATTGCTGTTATTTGAAACACAACAAGATGAGTCCACAGCAGACGAGATCACTTTGCTGGCTGTTGTATTGGATCACACGTTGGACACTTCCCAAGTTGTTGTTGTTGTTGTTTTACTGACACAAAAGCACAGTATGTCACAGCAAACGAGATCGATATGCTGGATTTTGTATCACAAAATCACAAAACTATTATTATTATTATTATTATTATTATTATTATTATTATTAGGTCTTGTTTGTATTCTAATAAACACACCCTAGACTCACAACTACTACTGACAAGAACTCACACTCATCTCATTGCTCTTTTTATTTTATTTATTTTATTTATTTACTTTGCTTGTATGCCGCAATTTCTCAGCCTTGTAGGCGACTCAACGCGGTTTACAACAAGAGCAAAAGTCAATCCAACCGCATACAAAATTTAAAAACCATTAACAGCATAATATACAAAATGACACATCAATAACAACACATTAACGTCTCATAACTAGAATCGTGATCCAATTCGTCTTCCATAATTCCGTTTCCTATATTCATCGTGTACATTGCATTGTTTAACCGAACGCCTGTTCGAACAGCCAGGTTTTTAGTTTTCTTCGAAACACCATTAATGAAGGGGCTGATCTAATGTCCATGGGAAGGGCGTTCCACAGCCGAGGGGCCACCACAGAAAAGACCCTGTCCCTTGTCCCCGCCAGCCGTGCCTGTGAAGCAGGCGGGATCGAGAGCAGGGCCTCCCCAGAAGATCTTAGAGTCCTGGTGGGTTCATAGGCAGAGATACGTTCGGATAGGTAGCTTGGGCCGGAACCGTTTAGGGCTTTAAAGGCCAACGCCAGCACTTTGAATTGAGCCCAGTAGCAAATCGGCAGCCAGTGGAGCTGGCGCAGCAAAGGAGTTGTATGCTCCCTGCATACTGTTATTAGGAGGACTTGTTTGTATTCAGGACTCTGAGTTAGGAGGGGGGAGGAACCCCAAAGATTATACCAAATTACAGGTGTTCATACTTGCTCTAATTTTTTTTTGTTGTGTCAGGAGCAAGTCGCTTCTGGTGTGAGAGAATTAGCCGTCTGCAAGGATGTTGCCCAGGGGACGCCTGGATGATTTGATGTTTTTATCATCCCTGTGGGAGGCTTCTCTCATGTCTTCGCATGAGGAGCTGGAGCTGATAGAGGGAGCTTATCCGCCTCTCCGCGGATTCGAACCTGCAACCTGTCAGTCTTCAGTCCTGTCGGCACAGGGGTTTAACCCACTGCGCCACTTGGGGCTCCTAATAAACACATCCTAGACACACTACTATGGAAAGGAATTCAGACTGGTCTCATTGCTCATTATTATTATTATTATTATTATTATTATTATTATTATTAGGAGGAGGAGGACTCGTTTGTATTCAGGACTAAAGAAATAGAAAGTTAGGAGGGGGAAAAAAATCAAAGACTATAGCAAATTGCAGGTGTTCATACGTGCTCTAATAAACACATCCTAGACACACTACTACGGAAAGGAACTCAGACTTGTCTCATTCCTCATTATTATTATTATTATTATTATTATTATTATTATTATTATTATTATTATTATTATTATTATGAGGAGGAGGAGGAGGAGGACTTGTTTGTATTCAGGACTAAAGAAATATAAAGTTAGGAGGGGGAAAAATTCAAAGACTATTCCAAATTTCAGGTGTACATACATATTCTAAGAAACACATCCTAGACACAAAACTACTATGGAATGGAACTCAGGCTTGTCTCATTGCTTATTATTATTATTATTATTATTATTATTATTAGGAGGAGGACTCGTTTGTATTCAGGACTAAAGAAAAATAAAGTTAGGAGGGAAAAAAACCCAACGACTGTTCCAAATTGCAGGTGTTCATACCTGCTCTAATAAACACATCCTAGACACACTACTACGGAAAGGAACTCAGACTCGTCTCATTGCTTATTATTATTATTATTATTATTATTATTATTATTATTATTATTAGGAGGAGGACTTGTTTGTATTCAGGACTCAAAAAAAAAAGTTAGGAGGAGAAAAACCCCCAAAACGATACCTAAGTTAAGGTGTTCATACCTGCGCTAATTATTTATTATTTATTTATTTACAATATTTGTATACCATCCTTCTCAACCCCGAAGGGGAACTCAGGGTGGTTCACAGTGTTGGCGACAATTCAATGCCATTGATAAAACAGTATAAAACATTAAAATTGGCCCTCCCCTAATAAAACATTAAACATTATTAAACACATCACATAAAATAACATCACCTACCACACAAAGACATAGCCATTAATAAACATATCCTAGACACACAACTATTACAGAAAGGAAATCAGACTTGTCTCATTGCTCCTTTTTATTATTATTAGGAGAGGAGCCCCTGGTGGCACAATGGGTTAAACTTTTGTGCCGGCAGGACTGATGACTGACAGGTTGGAGGTTTGAATCTGGGGAGAGCACGGATGAGCTCCCTCTGTAAGCTCCAGCTCCCTATGCGGGGACATGAGAGAAACCTCCCACAAGTAAGATAAAACATCAAACATCCAGGCATACCCTTGGCAACATCCTTGCAGGCAGCCAATTCTCTCACACCAGAAGAGACTTGTAGTTTCTCAAGTCACTCCTGACATGGAAAAATATATATTAGGAGGGCTCGTTTGTATTCAGGGCTAACCAGAGTGCAGGTGTTCATACTTGCTCTAATAAATACATCCTAGACACACAAATACTATGGAAAGAAACTCACACTTGTCTCATTGCTCATTGCTTATTATTATTATTATTATTATTATTATTATTATTATTAGGAGGAGGAGGAGGACTTGTTTGTATTCAGGACTAAAGAAAAAGTTAGGAGGGGGGAAAAAACCCAAAGACTATACCAAAGAGCAGGTGTTCATCATATAGAGCACTCCACCGGTAACAAACGCACTGACCTAAGGCACACCTGCTCTAGTAAACACATCATAGACACACAACTACAGTAGAGTTTCCCTTATCCAACCTTCACTCATCCAACATTTTGTATTATCCAATGCAGTCTGCCTCCTGCCTGGATCCAAAGCTGTTTCAATACATTGCAATGTTTTGGTGTTAAATTCGTAAATACACTAATTACCCATAACGTTACTGTGTTTTTCTGTCCATTTGTTGAAAAACATGATGTTTTGGTGTTTAATTTGTAAAATCATAATGTAATTTGACATTTAATAGGCTTTTCCTTAATCCCTCCTTATCATCCAATATTTAATTCCTCTTTATCATCCAATATTTTTGCTTATCCAACGTTCTGCCGACCCATTTATGTTGGATAAGCAAGACTCTACTGTACTACGGAAACAAACTCACACTCGTCTCCTTGCTCCTTATTATTACTAGCCGTCCCCTGTCATGCGTTGCTGTGGCCCAATCTGTGTATATGTGTTTTGTGTGTATATATATGTGTTTGCATATATATTTGTGTATTTATATGTGTACATGCGTTGTGTATATGTGAATGCTTGTCTATATGCATATTTGTGTATATGTATGTATGTGTGCATGTATGTGTGCATGTATATATGTGTGTATGTATGTGTAAATTTGTGCGTGTTTATGCATATATGTGTGTGTGTGTGTGTGTATGAATGTGTGCATGTGCATATGTATATGAGTGCATATATGGTGTATTTTTGGGGATTTTAAGTCTGCTCAGCTGGGGTTTTGTGTGTGTGTGTTTGCGTGTATGTTTAGGGGTGATGGACACTCGTTGGACTGTTAGGTGTATTGTGTCCAAATTTGGTGTCAATTCGTTCAGTGGTTTTTGAGTTCTGTTAATCCCACAAACGAACATTAAATTTTTTTTTATATAGATTATTATTATTAGGACTCATTTTTATCCGGCACTAAATTATTATTATTATTAGGAGGAGTCGGTTTTATTCAGGACTAACGAAAAATAAAGTTAAAGAAAACACCCAAAGACCATCCCAAAGAGCAGGTAGAAAACGGCTACGTCTGAGAGTATGCTATCGAACACAAACACATTGACTTGCTCTAATAAGCACATCCCAGACACTCAACTACTACAGAAATGAGCTCACACTCGAAACCAAACTCACACTCATCTCATTGCTCCTTTTAGTTATTATTAGGAGGAGTCATTTTTATTCAGCACTAAAGAGGTAGGCGAGTTAGGAAACAAATAATAAAGACCATACCAAAGAGTAGATGTTTATCAGATAGAAAACTGCTACATCTGAAAGAACGCCGTTGAACACAAATGCACTGACCTAAGACATACCTGCTCTAATAACTACTACAGAAATTATTCTATGAACTGTGCACTTATCGTCTTGGTGCTTCTTTTTCTTAGTAGTAGTAGTTTTTCTTCAAAACCAAAGAAGAAATGTTATATATAATCCAAAACAGTAACAACGAAGAGAACTCCGTCAGCCACAAACCTAAGGCATATGTAAACACGTACTAGACATACAACCACAACGAAAACTATTCTATGAACTTCACACTCACAAAACTATTCTAACCACCACCAACAAAAATAGATACGATTCTAAGATGCACCTGATTTTGAGAGATGTTTTATCTAGGGGAAAAGTGAGTCTTAGAATGGAATAAATATAGCATTCATAATAATATATAACACTAAAACTGCAGCGTCTAAAAAAAATCATGCTGTCGTAGGTTTTCATGACAGATCGTGATTTTGTCAATGTTTATTGTTTCCAAATGCCGGCTGAGATCTTTTGGCATGGCACCCAGTGTGCCAATGACCA